AACGTTAAATCTGGAATAGCGAATTTCAATAAGAGAAGAGAAATTCGACGTCTTTATTCCTATCTCACCCATCCTTCCACTTACAAACTCTATGGTATTCGAATTGGTCTTGTTTTCTCACTTGGTATTCCAAGACAGCAAAAGGATAATATTTTTATGCGAGGAAATCGAACGATTCGACTTGACGTTAGTGGTGGAGAATTTCTGAATCCTGAGGGACTTAAAGAGATGGCGGAAAATTTGAAACGAGAAATGGAAACACATTCGGATATTATTCTTGGTGACTATGAAGATACGTACTTCAATCTCTCCCTGAAAACCCAATATGTCTTTACTTGGGCTGCAACATTTTGTCGAAAGAGTCGACCAATCTTTGTCTTCGTAGACGATGATGTACCGTTCTGTGAAAGACGTTTGCTACGTAGCCTTCTAGACCTTAGCCCCATGGAAAGGCAGGTCCTTTTCCACGGTCGTCCTCTTCATGGAAATAAAGTATTTCGTTTCGGGAGAAATGAGGTGGGGAAGTGGAGTGTATTCAAATCAGAAATCCCTTGGCCCGAATTTGTTCCTTATTTGATGGGCTGTTATCTAATAATTAGTTTCGAAAACATTGAAAAAATTGCTTTAGGGATGTTGTTTACCCAATCCTTTCCCAATGACGACGCATGGTTATGTACAATTGCATATCGACTGGGAATTGAGATGAAATCGGTGGAAAAGATAATGCGGAGATATCAAATTCCAACCCAAAAGCCTACTTACTTCAAAAGCATACATAAGAAATGTTTTGACTTTCATTAATGCTAATTGTTGAGGAAATATAGGCATATTTTGTTCAAAACCTTCTTGTGTCTATTTCTAATGCATTTTTGGAGTAAAAAATTATTTACCCATGCAAACTTTTTGGAATGATTGATTGATTGGCATTTTAAAAGATGCATAACCTGTGTGGGTGGATGCTTTATGACTGTAAGTTAAGCATCTGAGAAATCTGAGTTCGAGGGTTTGCTACACATTAGTGAAATGCGTAATCAATCACATGGGTAATAAATTACTAAGTCACCATCAGAAAGATTCTATCGCACTAGTGCACACATGATTGGCTTATTTTAAATGAGGAATCGGGAATTTTTCGAAATGTAATTCTTCTGCTTCAGACAAATGCTTTATTGTAGACATTAATGGCTTTCTTCTGAAGAAAAGAAAACTTTTCCAAGAGTTCTTAACCTCTCTAATCTATTTGGCTTTAAAAATAACTTCATTATCATAAAATCTTTAAGTAGAATTAGTTGTAATCTTCACTTGGACAAATGCCAGAAAGTTAAGAAAAGCTTTCTTTTTTCTGGCTTTAAAGGTCATACGCATATGAACCGTTTTAAAGGGGACACTTTCGTTTGAACTGACTAAGCCGCACTAATGACAATGTAAATAATTGATTTCAAGTAGTGAGCAGGCATTTGATATTGAAGACATGATAATGTTAAATGCTTATTTGCTGCAACTGTGAATTTTAAATACCCAAGCTTTTCATACACTACCACCTATGGCTTACACATTGGTGGCGTATTCTGGAAATTCGAACGAGTAAAGTTCTAATTGATCACTAATTTGCAATTTCTAATAGCCTCCATAAGGATGTTGGACACACTTCTCAATTCCATCTCTGAAATCTTCATTCAGCAAACATTTCATGAGTTGAAAGTATCCTAAAATCGACATATCCATAACATATTGATTTGTCAACAAGCCTGTTCAATCACTATATAAGGAAGTGGAACGCGTGCAAATGCTGTAGTGGATATTCAGGTTTCATTACTCTCAGCCAAAGCAAAGGAGTGATTGCTTTTAGACGGACTACTCTTTGATGAAAAACGCAAAGGTTTTTGATAGACCATTACGTAATATAACTTGTAGACTAAAACGCCATGTTTATGAGCAATCGAGCATGTTCAAGTTGCACAATTTCCCCTTATCTAAAAATTCCGGAAAATTTCATCTCCTTTTCCTACATTATGTTTCATGTTGTCAGTATTTATTTATTTATTTGTTTATGTCGAATGTCAGGCGTTATGATAATTATCATTAGCCCTTTAGCTAACTTCGGGCTTCACAGAGGAGAGGAACATCAAAGTGGGAAAAGTTGAGAAGTGGAACTGTGTAGTGATTGAGAGATGTAAAAGAGACAGACAGACAGGATAAGGTGAGTACTATGGAAGTGGTGGAATATGGCATACACTGGGGTCATGGTAGTTTGAAGTCAACGGCCGGTTTATAGACTTTTTGGCGAACGAGTTTATTTTGCCCAGGGTGCCATATGTGAAGGTAAGGCTATCGAACTCCCCATGTTAAAAGTATTAATTAAAGTAATATGATTTCGAACCAATTATGTTAAGAAGTGAAAGAAATCGATAATGATTGGTCTCCATGGAAGACTTATGCCAAGAACTTAGTCAGAATTTAATAAGCCAAACG